GGACACCAGTCTCCATGGAGGAGGAGAACAGGTCCTGAAAACCCCCCAGCACCTCCTGGATGGTGGGACACGGGGTCCAGGGCAGGGCACTGTGCCCCCCTGGGGCAGGGAACACCTGGGCACGGTGCCCTGGTGCTCCTGTTGGAGATGGATGCCTGTGACGTCCCGTGTGTGTGAGAGGGAGTGTGGGATCACCCAGCGAGGTTTTCCTCTTGCTGTAGCTGTGCCCTGGACTTGTCTGTCCTTGTCCTTCGTGAAGCTGGTGAACCCCTGCAGCAGCAAAGCCTTGAGCAGCTCCTGCCCTCTGCCCCTTCCCCAGAGCACGGATCCAGTGCCCAGATCCTCTCTTTTGTGGCTCTGGTGGGTGTTGCTGTTGCTGTGACTGCTGATTATTAGCAGGGTCTTGGCTGGAAGGCAGCTCCAGGTGGGAGCCCAGTGGGTCTCCCTCAACCCCAGGGGTTGGTGGGCACCCACCTGGCTCAGCTGGGGTTGTGTGTCCCATTTGGGGGTTCAATCTTCCCAAAAATGTCTTCTGGACATGGCACAGGTGCTGGGGAGGTGAGCAGCTGTGGGATCTGGCCGAGCATGAGCTTTGTGGAGTTGTTGAGGGGGTTTGGGCCAAAGCCCAGTGCTGGGCTGGGCTGAGGGGGAGCCCCAGCTGCCTGCAGGTCCCTCCTTTGGCTCCTCCTGGGAAGGTGACCTTGTGGGGAACGTGGTTCTCATCATTACCAGCTGAACCCAGTTTAAGTTGTCCAAATGATGGAGCTGAGTTTTAGCCAGAGTGCTTTTCCTGCAGCCATTTGATTTCTTGCCCAAAAGGACTTTATAAAATAAGCTACGGGAGGGTTTTTTAACTCTATTAGTTTTAAAAAAAAATAAATTAAAAGGTGTTATTTTAGAGGCTGTGTGTTACAGCTCTTCACTGCCCACCAGCAGCTCCAGCCATCCTGCTTAAACAGAACCAGGAGCACAAACCAAGTCAGTTGAAGTTAATGCCAAGGTGGCTCCTGACTGGGTTTGAGATCTGGCTGATATGTTATAGAATATAACATATAGAATATCCACTGATTCTGGTGTATTTGGGAAGTGATTTAATTCGGGGTGCTGCTGCTCTCTGCCTGGCTGGGCCATGTGTGGCCCTGCAGGGGCTGACCTGGGTGGACAGTGGCTGTTTTTAATACAGTGGAATCATTTAGGTTGGAAAAGACCTCTAAGATCATTGAGCCCAACCATAAAGAGGCTACATGGCTTCAATCAACCCCTATTCCAGCAAATTCCTCCTGTGCTGGGCACTGCTGAGGCCACACCACAAATCCTGGGGTCAGTTTTGGGCCCTTCTCTACAGGAAGGACATTGAGGGGCTGGAGCGTGTGCAGGGAAGGGAATGGAGCTGGGGAAGGGGCTGGAGCAGCAGGAGCAGCTGAGGGAGCGGGGGGGGCTCAGCCTGGAGAAAAGGAGGCTCAGGGGGGACCTTCTGGCTCTGCAACCCCCTGACAGGAGGGGGGAGCCGGGGGGGGTCGGGGTCGGGCTCTGCTCCCAGGGAACAAGGGACAGGAGAAGAGGGAACGGCCTCCAGCTGTGCCAGGGAGGTTCAGGCTGGACATCAGGGATAATTTCTTCCTGGAAAGGATGGTCAGGCACTGGCACAGCTGCCCAGGGCAGTGGTGGAGTCCCCACTCCTGGAGGGATTTAAAAGCTCTGCAGATGTGGCACTTGGGGACGTGGTTTACTGGTGGCCTTGGCAGTGCTGGATTAACAACTGAACTCAATGATTTTGGAAGTCTTCTCCAACCTAAATTCTTTTGTGATCCTTGGATTCTGTGCTCCACGTCCAGCTGCCCATGCAGGAGGAGCAGTCCTGGCTCTTCCCTGCTCTCACCACTTGAAGCCTGATTTCCCTCCACCTCGAAGGCAGCAAAACCGCTGTGATTTAATTGGCAACATGTTCTAATTTGTTCCGAGCTCTGCAGGCTCGTTCATTCTGCACTAGCATTTCTCTGGATGAAAACAGCTCCATGGCAGCCTGTCCCCTCTCCAGGCTCTTTGCTCCCATGGCTTTGTGCAGAGCTTTTGCCATTTGCTTTCCTCAGTCTCCTTGGATTTTACCTGGACACTGTTAGGAAACACAACCTTTACCTTCCTTTGCTCCTGAGGGGTGTGATGGTCACGAGCCCACCTGGAGAGGGAACTGTGGGTGTCCAAGGGAGTATCTGAGAGCATGTGATGGGTGAAGGGAGCTGGCTGGAGATCACAGAAACATGGAATGGTTTGGGTTGGGAGGGACCTGAAAGATCACCCAGTTCCACCCCCTGCCATGGGCAAGGACACTTCCACTAGCCCAGGTTGCTCCAAGCCCTGTCCAACCTGGCCTTGGACACTTGCAGGGATCCAGGGGCAGCCACAGCTTGTCTGGGCAACCTGTGCCAGGGCCTCCCCACCCTCACAGGGAAGAATTTCTTCCCAATATCCCATCTATCCCTGCCCTCTGGCAGTGGGAAGCCATTCCCTGTGTCCTGTCACTCCAGGCCCTTGTAAACAGTCTCTCTCCATCTTTCTTGTAGCTCCTTCAGGCACTGGAAGGCCACAATTAGGTGACCCCAAAATCTTCTCTTCTCCAGGCTGAACAATCCCAGCTCTCCCAGCCTTTCCTCCCAGCAGAGCTGCTCCAGCCCTCTGATCCTCTTGGGGCCTCCTCTGGCCTCTCTCCAGCAGCTCCATGTCCTTGCTGTGCTGTTCCCAGGGCTGGAGCAGCTCTGCAGGGGGGTCTCACCTGAGGGGGCAGAGGGGCAGAATCCCCCCTGTCCTGCTGCCCACGCTCCTTTTGATGCTTTAGGGTTGTTCTTTTCCTTTTCTAAATCACCAACAAATTAAATGTAACAAACAAAGACAGGACCCTTCCCCCAGAATCTTTCATAACAGAGAGCAAAGCACTTCAGCTCTTTGTGAAGGAAACTCTTCAAACTTGACTTTTGAACTTGGAAAAATTAAAATTTTCGCTTTTCCTCTCCGTTTGGGATGGGGGAAGAGTTTGGAAACCTCCAAGCTGATGGTGTGACATCTAGCAGCAGAGAAAGAGCTCCAGCAGCTCCTGCTGCCTTTGGTCCTCCCGAGTGGGGCTTGGCCAGAGCCAGCTCCCCTGACCCAGCAGCACCGCTGGGTTCTCACCTGAAGAACGACCAGTTCTGGCAGTGAAATTGGTGGTTTTTCTACTTGCTCTTCGTGCAAACCCACCCTGCTGCTCCCGAGCTCTTGTGCCCGTGGCGCGGAGCAGGACCGCAGCCGGGGAATGGGTTCAACCGACGGGAGACGGGAAGGACGATGGGAATGATCTCCTTGTACCACTCTGCTCCCCTCCTCGGCCCTGCAAGGCAAGTGTGGGCCTGCATCTCCCTCTAGTGACTCCTCTCAGCCTGTTCCTCCTCGGCTCCGTGGCCCCGGCCCCGAGGAGCCCCCGGCCAGGGCTGGGTCCCACCCGCTCCTCCCGGTGCCTTGTCCGGGATGTCGGTGCCCTCTGGAGCTCAGCTGGAGCGTGGAACGAGCTCCAGGAGGGGGTGGTGGGCATGTGGGGCTGATGGAAACGCTGCCAGCGGCTCCAGCAGAGCTGAGGGACCTTCACAGCCACCCACCCCTCGAGCCATGGTCAGTGAGTGTGCAAACCCCGGCTGAGACACCGGCACCGGTGCTGGGGGTAAAACCGGTGGGATTTTCAAATGCAGGGAACTTTGGAGTTTATCTCCCTTTTCACAGTCAGTTCGTTAGTCTTGAGTGTAGATATTTCTACCAACACTGCAGTTCTCCATCCCTGGGCTCTGCTGGTGGTTTTAGGGCTGAAGGAGCCCCTTGAGACCTGCAGGGACCATTTAATGTGGCAGCTGAAGACAGAATGAGCCCCTTGCAAGCCACTGCCTTAAATTAATTAGCTGCCAGCCTCCAGGAGGCTCCACTTGGGCTTGTGTCTGTCACCCCTTCCCGACCCTGGGAGCTGATGGATTGGGAAGATGTGTGGTGGGAGCTCTGAGCTCCCCTCCCATCTGCCTGCACCGTTCCCCTGAGACCACCAGGAGCCTTGGAAAATGCAGAAGCAGCAAACTGAAAGGCTGAAGGGACAGATTGATCCCTCGTGTCACTCTGTGGATTTGCTGCAGTTGTTTTAGTAGTTGCTCTCGAGCTTGGATTTCTGTCATTAGGAGATCTCAGAGCCCCTTCTGGTGCCTAAAGGGGCTCCAAGAGAGCTGGAGAGGGACTTTGGATATGGGAATGGAGTAACAGGACAAGGGGAATGGGATCAAAGTGAAAGAGAGTCGTTTTAGACAGGATATTGGGAAGGAATTCCTCCCTGGGAGGGTGGGGAGGCCCTGGCACAGGTTGCCCAGAGAAGCTGTGGCTGCCCCATCCCTGGGAGTGTCCAAGGCCAGGTTGGACCGGGCTTGGAGCAACCTGGGCTGGTGGAAGGTGCCCCTGCCATGGCCAGGGTGGTTGGAACAAGGTGATCTTCAAGGTGCCTTTTACCCAAACTGTTCTGGGATTCTTCTCTCAATGCCCCTCCTGCAGAGACACTCAGGGTGGGGGATCCCTGCAGGGGGGCTGGGAGAAGGAGCCCCATGTTGGTGTGGCCCAGGCTGACACTTGGCTCATGTCCCTTGTGGAGTTTGGGTTTGTAGGGGCTGAACTGCCCTGCCTGGGGAGGATGAGCTGCCCCAGAGCTCGGGGGGTCCTGCCTGGGGCTCACAAGCCGTGCCCTGTCTTGTGCCTCCCAATGATATTTGTGCACGTGGGAAATTAAGGATCACAGAGTCATTAAGGTTGGAAAGGACCTCCAGGATCACTGAGCCCAACCTTTGACCAACCACCACCATGTCAACTAAACCATAGCATTAAATTCCATTTCCAGGGATTTCTTGAACACTCCCAGGGATGGTGACTCCGTGTGTTGATCAGGAAAGGGAGAAAAACAAGTGAAATCTTCAAACTTCATTTTTTTTTTCTGTCTTCCTTTCCAGGATTCCAGACTCACCAGTTCAGATTTGACCCTGGGGACACCTTGGATGTGGGAGGACCCCCAGGAGACCCTCAGCCTTCAGCCTGATGGGAGCGCCCTGGCTTCACTCTCTGCTCACGAGATGCCATCAGCTGAGGAGGAGGAGGAGGAGGAGGAGGGCAGCCTTTCTATTGAGGATGAAGGCTTTGAGCTGCTCAACTCCACCTATAATAAAATCACAGGCCCTGGCAGGCCAGGGCTGGGCAGGAGCAGCACGTGGGTCCATGGTCAAGGTTTGCTCCCTTTCCCCGTGGAGATTCCTGGGAACCTGGTGGTTCTTTTATCCTTTATTAGGGATACCTGTTATTATTATTATTATTACATGTTATGACGTGGCTTTTATCCACCCAGGAGCCTCCATGAAGACACACAGAGCAGCCAAGAAGGACCATCAGGAGGAAAACATCACCGTGGAGAAGCTGGCGGGGAACGCGGGCACTCGGCAGCAGCTCCCGCCCGGCAAACCCGGCCATGCCATCCCCAGCCTGCTGCCCCACACCTTCCCCAAGGTCCTGGCAGCACGTCAGGCGGCTGCTCCCAAAGGACACGTGCCCAGAGGTCCTGTGAGGACAGCAGAGCTTCCTCTGGTGGCAGCCAGACCCGCTGTGCCGGGGCTCGGGGACGGCGCTGCCCGCGCAGGACACTCCGTCCCCGTGGTGGCACGTGGGCAGCAGGGTCATGTGAGACCAGGACCCCCAGGGCTGCCAGGACCCCCAGGGCTGCCGGTGAGTGCTAGTGGTGATGGCTGAGGGAGGGGAGGGGTGGGTGGTGGAGCATTTCCCCCTGCACGGTGGGTGGTGGGCACAGCCTGCTGAGCTGCGGTGCCAGTGGTGCCATCAGCTCACGGGGAGGAGCTTTGCCCACCTTCTCTGGGCAAAGGAATCTTCTCCACGATGGGAAACCCCCTCTGTGCAGGCAGTGTGGGGCTGTGGCCCTGGCAAAGGTTTTTTGATGGCCCTGAAGGAACTGTAGAGGAGATGATTCCCTTATTCCCTCTCCCTAGAGATGATGTCAGGTCATCAAAATTAACCACGTTGTCGGTTTTCATTTCACCCTGGTCCTGCCCAAAGTCAAGCTGAGGGTCTCAGAGGGGGTCAGACCATCTCTTCCAGCCCCAGTTCCCACTGGCATCACTGTCCTTTGCTTCTCTACCACTGCAACACCCCAAAATCGGTGCTGGTGCAAAGCAGAGCATTGAATTTGTCTTGAAATGAGTTTCAATTATTTTTCACTTCATTCATCCACTGCAGAGGACAATAAAAGGGAAATTAAAAAGAAAAAGAGAAACTTAGAATAGATAATTCTTTAGAGAAATCCTGAGTCTTCGTTGAGAAGTAGCTGAGAAGTGTTCTACGTGTTTTCCCGTGTTTGTTCCTTCTGCCAAAATCATTCTGTGACTTGGTTCCATTCGCTTAATAATTCCTCTAGAAAATTGTATTTCCTTTCCCCAGTGCCACTGCCAGGGGTGACCATGGGCATCTTCTCCTCCCCCCGGGGCTGACACCCACGTGGAAGTCTCGTGGCTGCCCTGGGGTTCAGGGGGGTCCTGCAGGGCAGGTCTCCACCCATGGCTGGGTTTATGGCTGTGTTCAAGGGACCCAGCACTAAATCCATCATCCATGAGCCAGGCTTCATGGGATAACGGCTCAATTTAGGGTTGTTAGCTTCCCCCCCAAGCCATCTCCTCGCTGCTGCAGCTACTGCCTGCAAAAATAGAGGGAAGTGGCAAAAGGAACAGATGCTGAAGGATGAAAAAAATCCCAGGAGCGGAGGGAACGTCACAACATTTGACAGCCCTGCTGTCAGCAGGCAGGGGACACCCAGCCAGGAGGGGAATTGCTTTTCTTTCCTGTAGAAAGCTTGGAGAGGTTTTTTTTCCCTCAATACTGAGTATCCTGGGTGGAAACACAGGTACCAGCAGCTCTGTCCCAGCATTAGGAGTAAGGGAGGAAGATGGAGAGGGAGTTTTGACAAGGGCATGGAGGGAAAGGACAAGGGGGAATGGCTTCAGACTGACAGAGAGTGGGTTTGGATGGGATATTGGGAAGAAATTCCTCCCTGTGAGGG